TATTTTCAACGTTTCTGGAACGTTTACAATCGTTCTATAATCGAACCAATATTCGAATTTTATGTTCGAATTTAATTCGAACAAATTCGAACAAAACATTCGAAATAGAAAGCCACTTTCAACCACTTTCAACCTCATATCTCCCGCACCCTTATAGCTATCGAGACGCAACCACCCCTATGCACGAATGGAGACTTGGGGCTACCACCACATACAAACACCATTCACGTGCGATGTGTAGTTTTTACGGAAAAGTGAAATATAGGGACACACACATCCATTTTTATATATAGATATAGATTAAATTTTCTAATAACCATTATAAGGAAATTATGTAACTTTATAATTTCTTCGAAAAAATTTACAAGAAAGGGAAACCCGGGTTTGAACCGGGGACTTCTCGATCTGCAGTCGAATGCTTTACCACCGAGCTATGCCCCCACCACCGATACACGTATTTATATGTATGAATTATAAAACTTAAACACGACATTTATCACAAAATGATATTTATTCGGTATTCGTCGTTACACAACGTTGTGTATTCGACTTGAACAAAAACATTTTCTCATGTTCTTGGTCGCTTTGTTTTATACCGAGGAGGACAAAGACAAGGTGGATCTACGAGCTTGCACTTCGGTTTATCTGACCGCAAGCAAGTCTGTCTGCAAATCCCAAGTACTTCTGCATCAGTACATCGTCTATAATAGATGAAAAGCTTTAGTGCAGGGATTATATCGGTAACGGTTGGATTAACTGCAAAACAAACCAATTCAGTTCGAGTAGATATTCGTATGCATAATATGAATAATTAGTGACACTTACCTGTGATACAGAACAAGTAGACCAACAGCAAAACCTTTGTCTTCTCCATATTATAATTACACTTAAACGACTCGCAGATAGTTTAATTAATGATTAACGATTACTACTAAAATTTTATTTTTATATGCTGTTGATGCTTTTTCAAAGCAAGTCAAGTCATCTAGGACACAAATTCTGTTAGCGAGAAATGGGACAATCTTGCGAATTTTGCTGATGATATCTTACAATTCGTTTCTTACCACAAAACCGTTTAAAACAAATATAGATAACAAATAATCTAGTTAATTAATTGATTTCGAATAAACAGAGCCAACTTCGCTCTGCAAATACCGAATATAAACATCAACCACAAGAGTACCAATATGGCCACTGCCGCAATTTCGAATAACAGGATAAAGAACAGGATAAGACAAAACATGGCCTATAAAGCCATGTTTTGTCTTATCCTGTCCTTTCGTATCGTATCGTATCAGCTAGTTGGGCACGAGCTCTTAGGCTATATCGCCCCGTGGTGAAGTGTGATGTGATTGTCACGTAATAATAGTGATAATACTGATATGCAATTACGATGGTCGATACGCGGGAAACAATGCTTTTCGGGAGGTGTTTTAAGGGTAACTAGCCCCTATTTAGGCGTTACAGACGTGGAGAAAACGCGGAAAACTCCACGTGGCCAGTCCGCAGTGATACCGCCTGCTTCTGGTGAAACTACCCTGACGGGGCCTTCGTTTTACCGAAGACTACCCTAAATTGAGAAAACTCTCCGAACTCGAACTCAACTTCGACCGTCATCGAGCTCAGGTTCGGATAAAAAAAATAAGACAAACGATTCTATGATGATTCCGATCCCTGTATCATTAGCCTTAAATAATAATCAAAACAATTCTTAATTCATTGTTTGTAAAAATCTTAATAACTAAAATGTCTTAGTATTTTTAGGCGCTATCGGAGGAATTAATTTACATCTGATATGGAGAATGCCAATGGCACAATGGCATAAAGGTTGATAAAAGTGAAATCCTATTCGGGGATACAGTGCAAACCTGTGTACCTAGCACCAATCGGCTTTATTTCTATAGCTTCTGTTGTCCTATCCTAAAGTCCTCCAGTTATAGGGGAAACAGAACGTTTTTAGGCTAAAACTTTTTATGCGAAACTTGTGGTGCGATGGGTAAAAGCATCAGATCACTGGGCAGTTTTACTCTTGATAAGACCGAACTGAGCACTGTTCGTGGAAGGGACCCGCTCGGCCACTGATGAGCCCTGTTCTTTAATTAATAGAACCAGTTTGTTTAACACCTTACTTGTTTACTGATTTACAATAGTTTTAAATTCTGTCAACGGGTTGCAGTAACGTATATTATAAATCTAATGTTGTCATATAAGTTATCTTCGACGCCATTATATTAAGTATAAAAGAGGAGTCGATAGATATACCGGTCATTGAGCTACCAATAACTTTAATGCTACTGAAGTGGCGTAATAAATATTTCTGTCACTTCGAGCGCTGCAATCGCTTCGCGGCGCAAGTTTAACTGGAGCATGGGACAGTCGTCTGTAAACATTCGAAATTTTTTTATTATATGAAATTTTCTGGTTTTTCACTCAGATATTGTGTTTGTCTTTCTTGAAGGACTGCTTAGAAATACCAATTTAATTCGGTTTTGAACATTATTTATTTGTAAATGCCGTTAATATTTCTATTTCTATTTACAGTACTGTCACTTTTACGATTTTAGACTGTAAATTGATTAGACTGTTCGTTTTTTGCTTACAATTTGTGTTTATTTTAAAATATTATTGAGAGTTTTTCGTTAAAAGTGAGAAAAGGTAGTCAAAAAATTTATTATTCAGCTCGTATATACATTATTAATTAATAATCAATTATCAGGTACTTTCTGGATTCTTGAGAACTCTGAATCGAGAAGAAAAGAAGTTGATGAGAATGATATACATTAAATTATGGAAATGAATAGAAATGTTAAACCATGTATCAAGGTAAGATAGATTCGAAGTGTTAAAGAAAAGTTGGGTGTGGCTATGTCAGGACCGGACCGTGTATTTTAAGTGAATACGTGTACGTCAACGGGTAATATTTTCTATGAGAGTATTATACGTATGTCATAAGCATTCATTAACAGTAAGAAGTTTTTCGGATCTCCATGTTTTTTTACGTTCCCTGATCGCTTCACTCTATCATATAGTGTTTTATGGGTATCACTGGATTGCTCTCGAGAAGCCTTTTCCAACCTTATACTATTTCTATATTTTGATTTGGCTTTTCGACGAGTATAGGCCGACATTGTATTAAGTTTTCTTAATTTTTAACTTTAACACCATATATATTCACCATAACTATTCCACAGTAATGTTTTGTGCACGCAATCGATAAATATTAACGAGAGCTGTAAATTGAAACTCAAACGAGCGTCGTAGCTCCTCCGAGTCAAAATGTATACTAAACGGAAAATATGTGACGCGGCGAAACGACCTCAAAATGGCGACGCTTTCCCCTCCGCCGCGCGCGATGCGTCACAGTCCACACTCAACGTAATGAATTCTTTGATATTTTTTATCTATCGAGTGGTGTAATTAAATTTTGGATTTATAGTAGACCCTCCATAACGCTTAGATACGTTTCACTTTATAAGAATTTTACGTTGTAGGAATCCTTAAATACATGAGCCAATCACAGCCCGACACGTGCGAAGTTTACGGACTAAGGCTGTTTGAAAGGTTTTCTTCTATAAAATTAATCGATTCTAGACTAATTCGACTCAACATTTCCAAAACACGTATAATTTTTTGGGAATAATCCCTATAAACTATGTTATCAACAGGGGCGAACTAGCCATGTGGAAAATGTGGAAAATTCCACATGGGCCGTATACAATTTGAGCCGTTTTTTTTCTAAATATGTACATAATGTACCGTTTGGTTAAGTTTAATTTTAAAAAATTCATTTATTTTTTTTTTGTTAAGTAAGGTAAATTTCAATACAGTAGAGCGTCGATTTTCCGAATCAATTGGGGACTGGGGTTGTTCGTATTACTGATATTTCTGATAACCGATTTGTGTACGAAAAAATAGTTTTACGTATCCGATGTTGAAATTTTTCTCCGTTACGTGTCGCTTCGCGTTGAATTTTCGTCGATGTTAAGCCTAACGAAGACTATTGTATCGTTAAAAATTATTTTTTTATTTTGTACAAACAAAATAAATATATTGAAAAATATAAAAACAATAAAAATTATACTTCAGATGTTAATTTAGTATCAAAAACGTAAAATATTTGAGTAGCCCAAGACATAGCCAAAGATTGCAGTGCCACAGCACTGGGGAAAATTTAAATTTGCCGACTGGAATTCTTTCGGATGATTGACGTTTCGGATGATTGACTTTCGGAAAATCGACGCTCTACTGTATTTAGATATAATATAGGTACAGTACAATATATGTGTAGGCAGTGCCGTAACTAGCCATTCCTGTGCCTTGTGCAAGAACTTGCATTTGGGCCCCTTAATTAATTAGGTTTGGAAAAATAATAAAACAAACACGTGCATTGTGGGACACTCTTCCAAATGGGCCCTGCACAGGTGCACCTATTGCACCTGCCTAGTTACGGCACTGTGTGTAGGCCTGTATTATTTTACCCGGGCCTACCCGTATCCGAAATTAAATTAGTTCGGCGGATCTGAGTCAAACACTACATTAGCCCGATTCGGCCCAAACAGAAAGCATCCTAGGAGAAAAATTATCAAAACTACCTTCTAAACAGAGAAAATTGGTGATTTGTTTACATTGCTAGAAACTGTTCACCACTCCTATTAATCTTAATGCTAAACTATAGAAAAGTTATTAGTTTTGTACCTAGCCACTAAAGCAATGATTGTAGTCATAACAAATTTAATGGCCACTTATATTATATCCTTTATTTTAGGCAAGTAAAAAATGTTATTCAATAATAATTTTTCTGTATTCCAAACGATTTAATTAAAAATAATGTATTTTGTAGTGTGAGGCCGGGACCTCACTCCCTCTCCAATGGGAAACTGGTTGACGAGCTAAAGCTAATAAATCGATGATTTATTTCGTAAACAGGAACGAGTGTAAGACGATTTAATTGTCACATTCCCGGCAAGAATTGCTCTATTTGTTGTTATAATATATTATTCAGATATAACGTGTTAAGTGGCGCTTATTCTATACTTGGTCAAACATACAAATATCTGCTATCTATGTCTGTAACACAAGTGTCCGGTGAACAAAGCTTTTCTATGTTAAAATTAATTACCAGCAGGCTAAGATACTTATAAGTATCTCGCAAGTAAATCTAGAAGCCTTCGTGTTAATGTCAGTGGAGAAGGATTTTTTAAACGAAATACATCCTGATGATGTCATTAATATTATTGCTCAACAAAGCAAACTTCTAAATAAAAAATTAATATTGTAGAACAGGGGTCGCCAAATTTTTTTAACCGTCGACCCCCAACCACTTTCGAAAGCCTCACATTGACCCCACCGTAAAGTTTTATTACAAGTGTATGTGTATGAGCAAAAAAAAAAAAATATGTGTAACCAAACGTGCCAAACAGAAACGAAAAAAAGTACTGAAAACATACGAGCGTAAACGCGTAGCCACAAACGACTCGCGTTTACGGTTCGAGCGCCTTTTTTTCGGTGCGTGCGCAGTTCGAACTCGGAAGCATCGTTCGAAATCCGAGGCACAGTTTTGTCGAATTTAGCGAACGATGTTAGAGTCGTTCAAAGTAGAAGATACCGCTATATTCAGCGAAAATTTTGAAATATAAAGCAAAATTCAAGCTCTTTTATTTTGTTAGAAATTTTTAAAACATTCATTTCATCAGCACGGAGGATAAATTAATTTAGAATGTCCACCGGTTTTCTGAATACACAATACTTTCGCCATAAACGAATTTACAACACTCCATTCTACACAAGCCTTATAACTTCATTTTCTTTCTTGTAAAAACATCGCACCAAGGCTTTTCTTAATATCCAAGATATTCATAAAAATGATCATTATAAATAAAAATACTATAGAATTAGGGGGTACCCGGGATTGAACCAGGGACCTCTCGATCTGCAGTCGAATGCTCTACCACTGAGCTATACCCCCACTGCGTACACCTTTCATTAATAGTATTACTTAAGATTTGACGTAATAAATTATAATAAACTGTTCAATTCTTTCGTATAAATAAACAGAAACATTTTAAAAATTATTATTTAATTTTGAAAATGATCGTGCTTTTAAGATCTGTTTAATATAATTCTATTATATATTACGTTTCAATGTCAAGGTGAAACGTGATACTTGGAAAGGG